CACACACACACACACACACACACACACACACACACACACACACACACCAGGCAGAACCACCTTCAGAAACAATTTCTCTATTTCAATTTTATTTTTACAAAAAGGCAACAATAGCGAGGGGGAGGTAGTAAGAATGCTTGCTTGCTTGGTCACTCAGGAGGGAGAGACCACCTCAGGCAGCAAGGGTGGGCCAGGCTCTTCCCTGCCAATTTCTAACACCAACGAACAAAGAAAACTCCAAGACAGGGCTGGCTGGGCTTATGTTAGCAAGGTCAGTGTGTGTAGACTGCAACAATGAAAGGGAAAGCCAGACAACACATGGTCCCATCCAGAGGTTAAGGGCTTGGTCAGACTACTGGGGCCTTGACTCTTGGCAGGCTGGGGCATGTCTTTGTGGTCGCCTGGGCCTCCCTCTCCAGGGCATATAAGGGCCCCGAGCGTGATGCCTTGGGAAGCCCCTATGTACCACAGGGGCGTGGCGCTGATAACAGGGTTGGTGGAAGTTGGGCACAGGTGGCTGATGATGAAAGCTAAAGTCACCATCAAAGGCATATCCTGGGTGGGTGGGTGAGGGGTTTTCTGGATGGATATAGAATTCATCGGAGTGGAAAATAGGGTCTGAGGAAAAGTAGTTATCTTGTGGATAGGGCGGTGCTGGGGGCATCAGCTGAGGCGGGGGTAGGGGGCACGCTAAAAGTGGCGGGGGCCTCATGGGCAAGGTGGGGGATGGGAGTAGGGGTGGTGGCCTGGGAAGAAGCCCGGGTGGTGACAGGGCAAAAGCCTGAGACCCTCTGTTGGCCTGGGGTTGCCTTTCCTCTACCTGGCCTGGCCTTTCCCACGGCACAAGATCAGGCTCCCACGGGTCTCGATGGGGCAGCTCCACACCCCAGGCATCAGCCATGTGGCTCAGCAGCAGGTAGGAGAGTCTGCGGTGTGCGTGCTCATTCCAGTGCACGCCATCTCCCTGCAGGTGTTTCCTGTCCTGGCGGAAATGGAAATTCAAGTCTAGCACATCAAAATAGCGCTTGGTTGCCTCTTCATGGCTGTACAAGTTGGCTTGGGACACCCTCTTCTTCAGGGTGGCTACTGAGATCCGATACTGGCCCTTGCACTTCTGAGGGAGGAAGGCCGCCTTGATCTTGTCACCCAAAGGCATGGCAGTGTTCCACACTAGCAGGCAGGACTTGGGCAGCACCTCGTCCATGCGTCCAAACAAGTTCTCCAGGTTCTGCCTGTAGCTACTTAAGAAATTCCGCCCGTACCTGGAGACGTCCCAGAGGCAAGAGTTCATAATGATCACATCCGGGGCGTGCGTGCCCGACTGCAGCTCCTCCAGGACGCTCTCCATGTACTCGGAGTAGACTCGAGTGAGGAAGTAGAAGCGCACCAGGTGGTGGTCCGAGCAGAACTCGCGCACCTCTCGGTAGTCCGTGCGATTGTGCAGGGTATCCAGCTCGCCTCCCTTCATCAGCTGGTCCTTTTCAAAGGTCAGCTCCCCCTTGGTTCTGAGCTGCTTGTGAGTGAGCAGGCAATCCTTCTGCAGCAGGAGCACCAGGTCCTTGTACACTGCCCTATGCACAGAGTCCCCAAGGACGACCACAAACTTGTTGTGGAGTAGCTGCTGGACCTCCGAGGCCAACAGGCGGACCATGATGCCCGTGGCGCGTCTCTTAGCTCCCTCTTTTGCACAAGCTGGACCCAGGAACTGCTAGAACAGAAGAGAAAGCGCTGGGAGGGGCTCACCCTTAGGCGCAGCAGCGAGCTTCAGAAAGATAAGGGAAGTAAGGCATGAAGAGCTGCTGCCTGAGGGTGTGGACCCCCCCAGGGAACCCACATAGCAGGCTCCAGGAGGCCAGGCCTGCAGGCTGGGAGGAGGGGGCAGATAGGTAAGGGGGCGGGGCAGGACGAGCAGGAAGCCCTCCTGGATCTGGCTGAAGTTTAGGCCTGCAGTTTGATCTCTACTATTGGGCTGCTTCCTTACTTGCCCAGGCTCCACCCAGCCAGGAGGCAACTGTAATCACTTAGCCTCACACAGGTGGTCACCTACTCAAAAAACAACTTAATAGGAAGAAGCTGTGGCATAAACAGAGCTTACTACAAAGCCAGGATCTTCTGTTAGCTTCCTATGAAGCATAAACCATGTTTAATATGTTAAAAAAAATTTCCAACCAGTTGGCTGGGGAGATGGTTCAGTAGGTAAAAGCAAAAACTGTGCAAGCAAGAAGACCAATGCTCAAATCCCCAGCCCAGACAAGCAGACCCCAGCTTACCTGCCAGCTTGCCTCGCCAAAATGTCAGGCTTTAGGTTCAGAAGGAGAACATGTCTCAAAAAAATAAGGTGCCTGGTGATGGCTGCCTTTAATCCCAGCATTTGGGAGGCTGCGGCAGGCAGAACTGGGTACCAACGGCTAGCCATGTCTAGTGAGTTCCAGACCAGCCATTGTTACATAAGGAAAGCTTGTCACGATAAATAAGGAAATAAGAAAAAAACATGACATGCCTCCCCTCACACCCAGAGACAAATAAATATGACAGGTTTCCTTAAAAAAAAAAAAAAAAAGGGGGGTGGCACTCGCCTGTAATCCCAGGACTCTGGGAGGCAGATGGATCATTGTGAGTTCGAGGCCAAACCTGGTCTACAAAGTCCAGGACAGCCAGAGCTACACAGAGAAACTCTGTCTTGAAAAACCAAAAGAGGAAGACAGACATCAGCGATCTCCACTCTCCACACAAGAGTGCATACACAGCCCCATGGCACCCACACACTTAAAACTAAATAATAAGTAAATAAACAAAAAAGGTCTTGGAGATACAGGCATCTCATATAGAAAGCCCTAGTTCTGTCCTCTGCATTCAAAACCGAAGGACAAAACTAATGATTTAACAATGTTTCACTTTTCTCCTAAGCTGGTTAATTTATATGTCCCCAGGGACTGAGCTAAATGGAGAAAAGGTTTTGCCTTTCTAAACACTTCTGATGAAGTGCTGACAGATGTGGGACTCATCTTCAAAAGCCCAAATTAAAAGCCGGGTGTGATGGCCCACGTCTTCAATCCCAGCACAGCAGAGGCAGAGGCAGGAGGACCTCTATGAGTTGAAGGCCAGCCTAGTTCAAGATCAGCCATGGCTATGTTGTGGGAGCCCTGTCTCAAAATATACAAAAACTTCAAGTTACCTTTACTTCAACTCGCTGGGAAAATTAAGAGGTAGAAGCACAATTCAATGCTACCTGTAAATGTTGTTTTTATTTCCTCCGACAAAGGGACGAGAGGAAAGCCATTCCCGAGCCTTTCTAGATCTTCCTGAACTCTTGCTGGCTGGTTCATTTCAGCTGTTCTGGCCTAAACTCCTCTCCAAGCTGGTTTCTCTTGCTTCTGCTCGGCCTGGCCTCAAACAAATTCTGGCAATATGCTCTAATCTTCTGGCTCCTTCTCAAGCTCTGGTTCATTCTCTCTTCACCTGTGTCTAGCTTGCTCTCTCTGCAACCTGCCTTTGTAAAACTCCTAGTAATCAACTCTTGGTAATCCCCCACCCTTGCTGCTCTAAAGCAGCCTCCTTCCTCTCCTGTTCTCATGAAAATTGAGCATACCTCTGACTCATTCTGTCACATCTTTCTCTGATTCATCACTTTGTCTGCCCCTCAATTAGAGGTCACTTTCAAACACGGCTGCTTCCTTCTATATCTTACCTTCACTGCTCGGGACTAAAGGTACGCACTCGGAGCGTGTCTGTATTCCAGCAGCTCACACAGAACTAGGTCTTTGGATGTGATCCCTTGCCAGAGCAGCCATATTGCTGGATTAAACTTCCCTATTACCATCTAAGCAGAGTGGTGACATAAGCTGTGACCTCAGCACTTGGGAGATAGAAGTTCAAAGTCATTTGTGTTGAGTCAGTGAGTTTGAGGCTAGCCTGGTATGCATAAGATACTGTTTAAAAATAAAATAAAGAAAAAAAAAAGATGAGTAAAGATTATTTGTTCTCTGAGCTCAAGAACACTAATAAACTGAACTTGGTAGTATGGAACTATATAATGCTAGGGCTTGGGAGGCAGGAGAATTGCCACAAATTCTAAGCTAGCCTGGTCTATATAGTAAGACCCTGTCTTAAAAAAAGAAACAAGAAAAAAAAAAGAGAAAAAAGTGGAAAGGGGAAAACCTAACCGATAACTGTTTATAAGCCAGGTGTGGTGGTGCAAGCCTGTAATACCATGCACTATGACAGAATCACAGGCTGGAGGAACAAGGGTTCAAGGCCAGCCTGGGACTAAAACATGCAATTGTTCCAAAGAACAAAACTGCTTTGAAGCCGATACCGTATCAGGACAGGTCAGCAGCAGCTCTGCTTACCTCAGCTAAGAGTTACTTATCCTCTCTGTGAAACAGGACTATAGACATCACAGCATTTTGATGTGGGGACTGAGCGCAGAGTCCTCAGATATTCTATTTGTTTTCATAGGCATGCAGGTGCTCACGGAGGCCAGAGAGTGTCGGATTCCTTGGAGCGGAGTTCCAGGCAGCTGTGAGCAGCCTGATGTGGGTGCTGGGACCTAAAGAGCAGGGCTACTGACCCTACCCAACTCTCCAGCCTGATGTAGCTTACTTAGAACAATGCCTGTCAAGCGCCGCAATGTGAGTTAGTGATCCTCAGCAAACTACAGAGTGCCAGTTTAACCACCTACCTGCAGACAGAGAAAACTGCTTACCTGCCATTGGGGCACTACAAAAACCAAAGGAGATGATAGGGAAAGGGTTTTGAATAAAATGCTGATATTTACAGAACAGCTCTTGGATGCCAAATCCTTTAAGGTGACCAACCTACTGAAAAGATCATTCTCCCTGTTTCTGTTTTATAGAGATTATACCCATCCAGGGTGGTGTGTAGTTGTATATTCCTGGGGGTAAGGGTGGAGAGGATGAATGTACCACGTCTCATCATTCATTCTCAAGCATGAGACACAAGTATTAAACCAGGCATTAGCATAACCCAGTATAACAAAATGCTGCAGATTAAGACTTCCTTGTGGGAAACTGTGGTCCCCAGGATCTTAACTAGGGAACCTTGGACCACATGCTACTCCCAGGGCCCAGGGCCAAGTCAAGCAAAACTGTCTACAAGAATTCTCCATTGTCCTCCAGAGGAAGGTGCAGATAGCATCAAGGAGAAGGGGAGGGGAAAGAGCATTCCAGTAAGCAACTGAAACCAGAGGTGGGCGGGACACAACAACCAGATGGACATAATCAGACACCCTCCGCCGGGTCCCCATGAAAAAGAATGGGCGATGCCAGGATGGAACTCAGTATGCGACAAAACCCAAGAGACACTTTTAGTGGCTTGACAGAACAAGTCAGAAAGGATGAACCTTCTCAGACACTTAACAAAGGTCAGTAACTTCCAGTTTCAGGGTCTTTCTTATTTACAAGAACAGAAAGAAAAAGGGATCTGAATGTAGCCAGGTAGGTTGGAGAAATCTGCTAAACTCCCTCATTAGTTTTCGAAGCTATTTAATGGACTCATTTAATTATGAGGGAATTCAGCGGGGCAGCTGTTGTGCTCTGAACTAGGTACAAAAGGGTGGTCTGTCTCTGCTGGCTTGGTGGTAAAATGCCTACATTCCTAGCTCAGGGCATCAAGGCTGGTTTGTTCAAATAGAAAAACTCAAGCGAGCTGGTCTTTTCCCTCCAGGGGAGAGATAAGAAAAGGCTGCCAAGGACAGATAAGATGGGAGCTGACCCAGCAGAGAGGGATGTGTGCAGAAGCGCCCAAGGCTGTCCGAGTGTGTGTGGGAGGCAGATGGGTACAGGGACCTCCACTGCAGCACAATTCCACCCTTAAAAATCTGCATGATTCCCCAAATCCTTATTGCTTTCGATTTCACTGCAAAATCTGAGGCTCTAAAGCTGTGGGAGAAATATGCATTAATAATGGCTACCGCTATATTAAAAAAAAATGACTTTCAAGCAATTTGCTTGTATTTCTCAATTTGGGGATAATTAATTTTTCAGTAGCTTCATAAGGCATGAATTATAAATCTTTGACTATTACTTTATAGCCATCCCAAACCAAACCCAGAGCATTTATTTTTCATTAATCAATATTTTGTAGTAATTAGGTTAGTTTTTGGAAGAGTGACAGCAAACTAGGCCAGTTGCTTCAGAGATGGGACAGAGGTCTTCAATCATAAAGACTGACCTAACAATTACGATGCTGCTTGGATTTCTTGCAGGAAAAATTTGAAACTAGTTTAATAGTTTTGTGCATCTGACTAAATGCCACTGTCATATTAGACTAGGATTATAAATGGCTCCTTTCTGTTCAAAGGCATTTTGGGAGAATCAAATTTATCTATGTATCCATCCATCCTTGCATCCATCTACCTAGTTTTTTGAGACAAGGCTGCACCATGTAGCCTGGCTGGCTTAGAACTTGATAATTATCAGGTTGATCTTGAACATGAAGATCTGCCTGCCTCTGCATCCTGAGTGCTGAGATTTAAACATGCCCAGCTCAAATAGACACACAGACATGGTTTTGGTTTTTTTTTGCCCCACGAGACAGGGTTTTCCTCTATAGTCCTGGCTGTCCTGGACTCACTCTGTAGACCAGGCTGGCCTCAAATTCAGAGATCTGCCTGCCTCTGCCTCCCTGAGTGCTGGGATTACAGGTATACACCACCACGTCCAGGCAAATCAGTATTTTTTACTTTTCCAAGATCCTTCAATTTTAAGGTTATGTGTGTGTGTACACACACACACACACACACACAGTAAAATGATTTCTCAGGAACTCACCTATTTGATCTTCCCATGTCTTAGTATTAGTTTTCTAAGTTGAACTAAACTTGTCAAAAATTGTTATGGCCTGCAACAGGCTTATACCAGATTGGACCAGGCCTACCAACAAACAGTTATGGATCTCGGAGTAGCCCACATTACCTGCATGCTAACTACTGACCACAGAGAAAGCCTGGGGTAGGGTCAGTCACTGGACTCTGGAATGGGAATTGACACAAGCTTGACTTGGAGCCCGTAAGCTAATGTCCACTCTACAGAACACCAAAAGTGTGGGAGAATTAATATCTTTAAAGCGGCTTTAGCGTCGGGCGTGGTGGTGCACGCCTGTGATCCCAGCACTTGGAAGGCAGAGGCAGGAGGATTGCTGTGAGTTCTAGGCCAGCCTGGTCTACAAGGCGAGTCCAGAACAGCCAAGGCAACATAGAGAAACCTATCTGGGGGGTGGGGTGGTTTTAGGGTCTGTGAAGAACGGTGGGAAGTGTGTCAACCACTTCCCACTGCCAGGCGGTCCCTGGGTAACCTCATCCTCCTTGGCCAGGAAGCATTTTTACTAAACTTAACTAGGCTGCAGGGAGGAGGTCCTTTCCAGGGTTCCAGGGCCTCAACGGCTACCACGCTGCACATTTAATCTGGTTGCACCTATGTCGTAAGTCAAAGTCTGAACCACAAAGAGGCCTAGTCTTCAAAGTGGGTTGCAGGAGCTGAAGTGGACATACTGAGCCCTCGGCTGTCCCTGCCATCCCTCCAAACAACACCTAACACTGCGATCCTTCTGGCACAAATATCAATTACAAGCTGAGAAATTACAAGCTTACACACTCTCAAAGCAGTTCAAGGCCAGGCTGGTGAGTCCAGGACAGCCAGGGCCACCCCGAGAAATTCTGTCTTGAAAAAAACAAAACAACAACAACAAATTGACAATATAGTATAAATCTTTCTATGGGCTATAAAAGAAAATGGAAGGAGTAAATTTAAGAATGAAATGGAAGTCCTAATACTTGACACGCAGACACTTTTTTAGAGGAAAAAGATAACAGGAGGACCATTTAGATTTTTTTTTTTAACCCCGAGACGGGGTTTTTCTGGAACCAGCTCTATAGACCAGGCTGGCCTGGAACTCAAGAGATCCGCCCGCCTCTGTCTCCCAAGCGCTGACATTAAAGCTGTACGCCGCCGCCGCCATCACCACCCGGCTTCCGTTTGGTATCTTTTAAGCCATCCATAAAAGTTTCATTTAAATCTCATACAGCTGTGCAAATTTTAACACCACCTCGAGTCGTTATTTCAACCGTCTGAAGGGTAAGTTAACAAGAAACAACCCTGCCGTACAGGTCCCCGGCTGGAGACCCACCTTTCTGAGCCTCAGTTTCCTGTTCGGTAGCAGCGAGGGTAAGACACCCAATGTCTCCAAGGCCTAGTCACGCCTGCAGGACACCGGGTCCCTTCTTAGCCCCAGCACAGCGAACTGACCCCGCACGGGCTCCAGAGAAAACAGCCTCGAGCCCCCAACCCTGAGGTCCCCGCTTCCACCGAGCGCAAAGGCAGACACGTACCTCCTTCTGGGAAGGCCAACAGCCAAGTCACGCCGGGAGCCTCCTACACCCTCAAGCTATCTCCCCTGGGTGGATTAACCCTGAATTCTAGTCACTAGTCCTAAGGTTAGCTCCCACCCTTCTCATTTCTCGCGGCTTTGAAAAAGAAAGGTAACCTCGTTGGCTCCACCTCCGGGCCTGTCCCACTGCCTGGCCTTCAAAGACACATTTTTTAAAGCGCTGTTTGCACAGCCTGTGTCCGGGTCCTCTCCTCCCACTCACTGCTCCTTTGACTTTAATTTGGCTTCCAACCGCATCAAACCCGAAGACATTTGTCAGTAAATCACCACTGGCTTCTTGGCTTCCTTTCAAAGGCCGAGTCTTGTCCTTCCCAGCTGCTGTTGACCGCACTTCTGCTACGCCCTCCCGAGTCCGTGTCTCTGGCACCGCTGGGTCCTGTCCTTCCCTAGATCCTTTGCTGAATCTCTGTTTCTCTCCCTGGGGACTCCCTCAATGTTGGTCTTTCTCAAGGTCCTCCCCGTCTGCTCTCCAGCCTTCTTATCTTGGTCTCAACCACCCTCAAGCCTCCCAGCAGTCCCTATTTTGCCCTAGATAGTTCTGGCTTCTTAGCCAGTCCCAGCCGGATTGTAAATGGCTTCTCTTCCCTAGACCGGGGAGGAGAAAGACAAAGGACCACCCATCACCTTATCAATACTATTTGTATGCAGATAAGTCAGAATTGAGGCAATAAAGCCACCAGGCTGAGAGGGAGGGCCCGGGATTCGGCCCGGGGGTTGGATCGGGCTGGAGAACTCTTCCTTCTCCCTGCTTTAGGCATTCTGGCCTAGAGGAGGAGAGGAGGCCCGCGTAAGCTACCAGCGATTTCTTAACCGTTGGTGGCTAGAGAGAAGCTGCCACATTTTAAACTAGCCCCTTCCCTGCTGGAATGTCTCCTCAGCTCCAGGCACTGAGGTGTGCACAGTTCTTTAGTGGGGGAAGGGAGGAATAACAATAGCCTTCCAAATTCTCCAGGGTTCTTTATCCTCTTGCCAAATTGTGACAATCCCTAAGACGATTCCTTCCTGACCTTTGGAACAGTCTTCCTCAAGGTAAATATTGGTTGTGGCCTGGAATGATGGCAGCCTGCTCTAGGTTATGTTCAGAACGGTAGTTCTGGGTGGAAAAATATACGACTGGGTGAAAAGAAACTCCATCCAAAAAGCTGGGTCAAGTCATTTTTATTTTTCATAAATGACTGTTTCCACTATTCTTGAAACAAAATCCTGAAAATGACAGCCTGGATGTAGCAACACTCAGCTGTTTCTATCTATTTCTGCTTTCGGGGGAGTGCTGGGCACACGGATCTCTGTGAGTTTGAGGCCAGCCTGGTCTACAAAATGAGTCCAGGACAACCAAGACTACACAGAGAAACCCTGTCTTGAGAAAATATATTGGTTATATATTCCATTACTATACTATATGTGTGGGTACATATGCATATGTATATTGAAAATATGCTTTAGGATTTTGCAACATTTTCAGAAGTTGAGCAGTGTTCAATTTTACTGGTTTTAGCTTAGTTTGTGTGGCTCATTTTCACTGTGTGTGTGTGTTTATCTTTGTCTATCAGCCAGGGATCAAACCCAGGATCTGTTTCTTAAGACCTACTCATTAAAGGTCAGTTTCGTGAGAGATTTTTCCCTCGTTCTTCCAACAGGTCTCTCCTTCCTCCAAGGGCACTCGCTGCAGCTTAAAGCATGGTCAGCTACTGCCGTTCACTGGCCTGGCCACGCAGGACACCGCAGAGGGCTTCCTCCTGCCTCCACATCCCAACTGTTCTCAGAGGCTTCTCCTCCCAGTCTGCTCCGGCACAATGGGCCCACACTTGCCCATCCTTACGCCTAAGCCTCCTTCTGGTGGACATCCAAGGAGCACTGACCCTGCTGGCCGCCCTGGTGGAGCCTCCCAGCCCAGCCAGGTAGGAACTTTAGTTTAGTTTCTCCTTACAGGAAAAACCAACAGATGCGAGCAGAGGTTATGCAAAATCGCCCAGGGCTGCTCCGCCAGCAAAAGCTGCCACAACTGGCCTGTCCTCTGACGGGTTAGATAAGCTTTAGGTTTCCTTTCTTTGGGTAGAAATATGGCTTCAGAACCCGAGCTTTTAACCCCAGCTATAAATATTTGCTGGAATTAAAATAAGGAAGTAAAATCATCTAGAAAGAAAAATTTGCATGCTGTTTCCCTCCTCGTTCCCTGCTTTAAAGAGTATTTTGTCGACAGCTTTAAACGTTTCCACATTTACGCAGAAACAGAGCAGGTAGAAAGCTTATCTGGTTCCATTTCCACCACTCAGAATGTTACACACCTTTATTACTAATTATTATTATTACTCATGGTGAAATGAATATTTAACTGCTTAACGATACCAATTGGCTAACCTTATTAGGCTTCTCCTTCTTTAAGGGCTTTACTTGCGTTCCTTTTAAGAAGCCCAAGAAATAGGTACTTTTCGTCTTCTTCATTTACACATTCAAAACTTAAGTCTGAAAGATGGAATGAGTTCCCTGCTGTCACCCAGCAGGGCTGGGGTGCCAAGCCTCTGCGGTCAACCACAGCAGACGAGATTGCATAGACAATAAATAATTCTGCACCTCCTCTCCCCTTCAACACCTAATTGACTGTTTCCTTGCCCCTTAAAAAAAAAAAAATAAGTGTTTACCAGTCTAGACCACACAGCAGTCTGTCCTTTGGTGCCACCAAGTCCTGTGGCTGGAGCTGCCCATCCCCCACCTGCCCAGTGACTCCCCACATTAGGAATCTGAAAAAGGATGGTCAGAAAATTTAAATTTATATTTAGAAAGAAAAATGGGAGGCAGAGCTCCGTAATCTCTCAAGGTCTTTCTCAGCTACACGGGGTAAGAGGGCAGCCTGGGCTACAAGAGACCCATTAACAAAGGAGAAAAAAGAAAACTGGGAAGTACTTACTGAAATGACTGGTGATTTTTTTTTTTAAGGTGTCTCGCTCTTGATTCTAGATCTTTCCCTAGACAGATCCCTTTCCTGGCTGTACGTCAGAATGGCCAAGACTGTCTTCAGGGTAAACAAGGTCAGCGCTGGGTGCTGCAACTTTCACAAGCCAGTGAGTGTCTGAAGAGGTGCTGCCATTTCCGGTGGCCTCTGGGCAAATAACAAGATATAGAATTTGCTTTCTTGCTTTAGGAAGAATAATAACCAGAGTTTAAGACTGCGTTATTAATGTCAACGAAGCATGAAGTGGTATTTTGGGCCTCACTTGGTTTTCATTTTGTCTTTGAACGCAACTTACCCTGTTTTTAAATAGTTGGGTTGTTCAGGTGTGGTAAGTACAATGCAGAAAGCATTAGAAGTGGGGAGGAGGGACTGGGGGCAGGGATTTGGGGAGACGAGACATTTCTCCCTTTCTTATTTGGCAGCCACAATCCTGGAGTGGGGGTGGGGTGGAAGCTAGCCTCCCAGCTTCCCTCTTGATCAGCACACAGGTGGGAGACATCCCCCCACAGTTGGGAGTGGAAGTATGGGCCAAAGGCTGCCCAGGAAAACATAACCCTGTGATTACCATTCCAGGTAAATGTGGTAAAGGTCAGAGCTGGTTCTAGTCCCTTCTGCTCCCTTGCCCAGACTCCCTCAAGAAACTGTCAACTTAAAAAAAAAAAGGCCCTCTGGTTCAACAGATATGCATTGGCCTGGCCTTGGATTCTGGTTGAAATGATCTCATTTGGGGGAGGGGCTCTCACCTCCCCTAGAAATACCAAGATGAAAGAAGGAGGAAATGAATCAGGGGGAAAAAAAAAAAAACCTAGGAGAAACTCTTAAACAAAACAAAACTTTTTTCCCCCCTTAAAATAGTTAAGCTTTTAATAGGTATTCTAAACACGTCAGACTGCAACATTAAAATGGAGACTGCTGGTACGTCTGTGTGTCTGTGTGTCTGTGTGTGTGGCTCAGGCCCTGCCTACTGCCCCAGCTTACAACCTCCATTACAATAAATAGTACAGAGTAAGAACAGGATATATTCTGCAATGAACCCAGTGATGTGGCCCATGCTTGCAAGCATTCAAGCGGGCCGAGGCTGGAGGGTTGCTACAAAGCCAAGGCCAGCTTGGCCTATAGACAGAGGCCCCATCTTAAACCCAAGCAAAAGACCCCAGGACAGTCCTGAAGTCCAACCCTGTATGCTTTGCTTTGTTTTTTGTTTTGTTTTGTTTTTTTTTTTTCTTCACAACTGGTAGGCTGCTCTACAAAGTGACTTCATTGTCGTTTCTTCAAAAACATGTCCTCAACTACCCCACATGTGCCTTAAAATTTAATTACATACCTTCTGCATTGTTCTCATCTTGCCTAAATTTTTTCTTCATCTTGACCAAATTGTTTTCTGTTTTAATGAATTTTAATGCACTCATTACAGTGTCTCCAGACAGGACTTAAGTCTAGAACCCAGCTGAAAACCTGCGTATCTTAAAATTCAGAACAGTGTGTCATGTACCTTGAGGGACCCTGCCCTGCCCGGGTGCCAAGGGTTCTGTACACGAGTTGCAGATGTTTCCAAGACCTTAACTTCAGTTTAGGAGGTGTGTGCATTGTGTGAACAAGCTGAGGAGGCGCCCGGGTTTTCTGTAATCACCAGGGGACCGCGGGACAGAAGAGCAGCAGGGAATGCAAATGCTAATTGTGTTTATGATCTTCAAATTTAAAATAAGGTTGCTGGAGGGCAACCAACTGGGTTTCTTGCTTCCCAGCCTCTATTATAACCCATGCCATCAGCCCCCATTGCCAATCTGGCTCCATGGAAGGCTTCAGAGCTGAGTGAACCTCCTTTCTCCTTACCCACCCCTAAAATGCCCTTCCTGGCATGGCTCTCTTTTTGTGACATAAAAGCAGGCTCTTGTCATCCTCACTTTGCAAATGGTAAAATGAAGACTGTGCAAGATCATGAATCACTTGTCACCCAGGTGGAATAGGACAGGCATTTTGGAGCCAGTCCTTCCGACTGCACAGTGGCCATCTTTGCTGCCAGGTGGGGTCACTGCCACTGTTATCATTCTTACATTATTTTGTTTAGCTTTAGAAGGGGTACCAGAAGCTTTGGTAGAGGGCGTAAAGCCGGTAGGTTCTGTTCCCCTCATAAACTGACCGAGCGTGTGCCTGAAATCACAGCGATAGGGAGGCGCAGGCAGGAGGATCAGAAATTCAAGGTCATCCCTGACTTGCACGTGGGAGTTTGAAGTGAGCCTGAGCTACATAAGACCCTGCGCGCTGGGGGGAGGAGAGGTACAAGAAGAGTGAGTGTCTGTGTCCCCAAGTCTCGTCTCTTCTAGAAGCAACACTACCTATTCTGTCAGAAACATTCCATACAGAGAATTCCATAGATTCTGTATTCTTCTCAAGTCAGGACAGAAAGACAGCAAAGGTTACCCTACTGACAGAGTTAGGAAACACTGGGACCCACTGGTACGCCAGAGTTTCCTGCAGCGACAATGTGTGTATTCCTGAGACATCTCAGGCAGGTATGTCAAAGACAGTAGATAACCCGTGATTCCAGACAGCTAAAATGTTTTCTTACCTTGAGCTGTATTTATAAAACCTCTGCTCTCATTCCTAAATCTCAACAGTAGCCCTCATACATACACGTTACAATTTTGTTTATGAAAGGGAATTCTCTTAAGCCCTTGTTGTAAATTCCACTCTGAGCAACACAACATAGAAACCCACAGATGGTGTATTTGGTCACTATATAAATAGTCATATATGGAGACAACAAAGATGCTGGAGGCATACCTGAGTTGGTAACACGCCTATGCTAAAAATTCATTATTATTTATAATAAATTATTATTATTATTAGGTTTATTATTATTATTACAGGGTTTTTGTTTGTAATAGTCCTAGCTGTCCTGGACTCTTTCTCTAGACCAACCTGGCATTGAACTCACAGAGATTTACCTGCCCCTGCCTCCCGCCCAAGTGCTGGGACTAAAGGCCTGCATCATGATGCCAGGCCTAAAAAAGTAAACTTTAACTCAGCTGGGCGGTGGTGCACACCTTTAATGCTAGCACTTTGGAGGCAGAGACAGGAGGATCTCTGTGAGTTTGAGGCCAGCCTGGTTTACAAGAGTGACTTCCAGGACAGGCAAGGCTATAGAGAGAGACCCTGGCCCCCAAAACAAACAAATTTGAACTCGACTTCACACTGTCTTGTCTTGAAATTCTTTTCTGTGGCAAAGTGAAACAATCCTGGGTTTGCCTAAATGGAGGTCCCTAAGGGTCAAGAGTGCTGGGGTGACAGTACTGTTCAGTGGTAGAGCCGGTCCAACAAACCACAGTGGGAGCCAGAGCAGACAGCGCTATGCTGTCAAGATGCAGCCTGGTAACTGACCTAGGCCCAGGGTCTGCGGTCTCCTGTGTGGACACTTAAGCTCACAAGTTACCTGGTGACATCATGTCCACTGGTGATGTGGTCGGAGGGCAAAGCTATGGTGCTGTGGAACACTACATGAAGAGATCCTCTGGTTTTGGGACAGACAATATCAAGCCAGATAAGAGACACAAAATGGTTCCAGGACCTCTGTGGTCAATGAGCTGCTCCAGAATCTAGCTTTTCATTTGTAAGATGGTGCAATAATAACCACTATGGGAGTGCAAAGACCAAATGAGAAAATAAATCTGACACAGTGTGTCCATAAGAGGGTAAATATATATATTTATATGAATATATGTTCATTATATATATGAATATATATCGTATATATACATATATACGATATATATTCATATATATATACACACACATACATATATATGATCTCTGTGCTCTTCACTGGAGCCCAGCTCCTCATTCTCCCTCTCAATAGGCCACTATCCCAGGCTTGTGTGCTTTCAGGAACTGCCCCGTAAATGGGAAGGATGATACAAGGGAGGTTTGCCAGAGCCAAGACAGGGAGGACACCAGGAGGTGTTATTAGAAGCTGCAAGAGACAGAGGGTGTAGATGCCCCTCTCGGGTGAGGAGGAGAGGAGCAACGTTGGCCCTCACTGGCTAACGCTGCTGCCTGGGTTCCTTGCTTCTCCTGTCTGTCTCGGCAAGGTAGGTGCCAGTCTGCAGCAGGCAAACAAGTATTTAATCAAGACTGGAGTTGTGTCTTTTTGACACAGGGCCTCGCTGTGTATCCCTGACTGAGCCTGAACCGTTACGCAGAACAGGCTGGCCTCTGCCTCCTGAGTGCTGGGATTAAAGAGGTGCACCACCACACCCAGCCATTTGTGGGTTTGTTTTGAGACAGGGTCAGTATGTAGCTCTAGCTTGCCATGTACTCCATATGTCGGCTAGGCTGGCCTTGGACTCACGGAGATCCACCTGCCTCTGCTGGGAATGTAAAGGTTTATTATTATTATTATTTTGTGTGTGGGGGGGAGCAGGTTTTTGCACAGATGTACAGGTTCTTGCTGAGGCCAGAAGGCACTATCATATTCCCTGGAGCTGGAGCTACAGGTGGTTGTAACACCTGTATGACAAGGTACTTTGAAGTCAACTTGGGGTTTTCTGCCAGAACAGTATGTGCTCTGACGGCTGAGCCACCTTCCTTACCCAGCCATTTGGTTTCCATTAATGGAGACTGACGTTGCAACTTTTACATTACTTAAAGTCACAAATCACCTGAATTCAAGCAATAAACCAATATTTTAATTAGATAGTGGAATATATATATATACATATATATGTGTGTATATATTTGTATATATATGTGTGTGTGTGTGTGTATATATATATATATATATATATATATTTTTTTTTTTTTTTTTTTTAAAGACAGTCTATCTCTGTGTAGCCCTGTCCTGCTGGAACTCACTCTGCAGACGAGGCTGACCTCAAACTCACAAAGATCCACCTGCCTCTGCCTCCCAAGTGCTGGGTTAAAGGCGTGTGCCACCACCACCACCTGGCCTAAAAAAATATTTTTAATGTAAGGGCAAAAATGATGTGCTTTTCTCCCTCCTTTGTCTAGCGGCGTGGAATATTGAACCTCACAGATGTTTGTCAAACATCCCAAGCTGGCCCAAAGAGTGGTCCCTCAATATCAGCAACCCTTTATCAGTTCTAGCCACAGTGGAATTTGAGCTTATCTATTTCACCCACCTTCCCTACATGAAGCAGCAGTTGCTTCTGTTCTAGGAATGGAGTGCTCTGAGTGGGCCTGAAGTCAGCTCATTCAGTATTTGCATATACATGTATTTACTTCTGCCAGTGGGTTGTTTGCATTCACCCTTATTATGCTTGGCTGCCTTTACCTAAAGACCTAACATAGCAAAAAAAAAAAAAAAAAAAGTTTGTTTTTTGTTTTGTTTTGTTTGCTTGTATGGATTTAATACCCTATGTGCTTTGGTTATTTCTCTTCAAAGACTGTGTCATTTGTGCTTTTCAGTGCATATGAATAGTCAGGTACATGTCGCCTCACCACTGGGGAGGCAGAGGAAACAGGAAACAGGGTTACTAAAAGTTTGAGGCCAGCCTGGTCTATATAATGAACTTCGGGCCAGCAAGTCTGCATGTTTAGACTTTTCCACACAAAACAAAACAAAACAAAACAAAATTTGTCTCCTCAAATAGTGTATCAAGGACCGTGGGGAGCTGGGGCGGTGGACTGTGCACGAGGCTCAGGGTTCCAGCACAGTACTACAAAACACCACCTTTCTTTACGCTGAAACCTAACCTGGTGGGACACCAGGTCTACAAATCCAGAACCAAGGGGGCTGACAGAGGAGGATCACCAGGAATTTGAAGCTAGCCTGGGCTACATAGTGAGACCCCGTCTTAGACAGTCAAAACAATAACAAAAGAATTTTGATGGCTCAGTGGTGAAGATGGTGAATTGCTCTTAAACCCATCAGGGTCGGGGACTGGAGAGATGGCTCAGAGGCTAAGTTAAGAGCACTGGTTGCTCTTCCAGAGGTCATGAGTTCAATTCCCAGCAACCAGATGGTGGCTCACAACCATCTATGATGAAATCTGGTGCCCTCTTCTGGCGGTTTGAGACTGGGTGGAATAAGAGAACCTAGGTCCTACTCCACAGATGTACCTTCAATCTTTCTGCAAAGTCTGCATTCTGCTCCAGTGTCATGCACTATGCAGACTGAGAAAGTCCTTATTCTGTGAGCTATGTGGCTCAGGATGCTTGACTCCTCTGGACCCACTTCCAGTGTCAAATAGTAGATGTGTAGGTTTTCAAGTTACTCTAGGAAGTGTTCCCTGGGTGCAGCTCAACAGGACTAGAGCCATCTTGGCTCAGTTTGCTTACTGGGCAGTCCTGGCAGATATCCCAAGCCCTATAGCAAACAAAGCTGTTAGGCGAGTCAGCCAAGCGTAGTGTGCCAGCCACTGATGCCCAGATTGTTTTTTAACTGATATTCGGAGAAAGGGCAGTACATTCCTGTTGGCAGCGGCCCATCTTTGTCTAGCTTGGCATGGAGATACTTTCCTCTCGTTTTGGACCACAGGGATCCTCATGCCTTGGTGGTGCTCAATCAAGACATTCTCTGCCATTAAGTCTCCAGTAAACTGCAATCTGGGCCATCAGCCTCTTCACGTCGAAGGCCCTTTCTGCCTCTGGCCTCTGGCTCTAAAACACTGGGAGTTAGCTGGGTGTGGCAGTGGTGCATGCCTTTAATCCTAGCACTCTGGAGGCAGAGGTAAGTGAATCTCTGAGTTCAGGATCAGCCTGGTGTATAGCAAGTTCTAGGACAGCCAGGGCTACACAGAGAAACCCCATCTGGAAAGAAAACAGCACAAAACAAAACAAAAGCAAAAACACCATTGGGAGTGAAAATTAAAAAAAAAAAAAATACATGTATATCCATGCCTTAATCATATATAAAATAATATTTTCAATGATTAGCCACAGGTAAAGTGCAAATGCTGGTAAGCACCCTTTGTGATGGGCTAGCGTGAGAGCATTGTCCAGTAGGGTCGGACTCTGCAGGTGGGCAAGGCTGAGGCATGCTGTCTGGAGGTCTGGGAGATTGAACAGCCTTTCCCATCCCAGTCAGGCTCAGCCGTGAGCTCGGACGGTGCAGCAGGCTTCCTGGTTGCCTGGTCCCACAGTCACAGGTCTTTTTTTTTTTTTTTAAGCTTGTAAGTCTTTCCACAAAGCATAACGAAGCACTGTTTGTGGACAGAGCTTTACCTTATATTAGAAACATGCCCCTCACCTGTAGGCAATATTAGGTGACTGGGACTTAGTGTGTTCTGATTCCAGTTTCTACGCTCACCCCCACTCCTTCGTCAATTTGACCATTTTTAGAAGCACAGTGGAGGGGTTTGTTTGTATTTGGTGTCATATGGTTCTTTTCTCATTCTGCATCTCATTGCCTCTTCCCCCAGACCCTTACCGCACAGCCCCGAAATGTCCTGGGCACACTCCGTGCTGCTAGCTCTCACGTGCTTTAGCTGTGAGTGAAAGGTTAACTCTCAGCAGCTTCCTGCTTTCCCAGGTAACTTAGCCATCCCTTGGCTACCATGACCTTTCTTTGGTCCATCACGTCAGCACAACCGTGCAAGGTTCTCCCTAGCCAGGGGCGGGCTTTTTACTCCAGCACCCAGGCAATAGAGACAAGGCAGGAAGTCAAGATCAGCCTGGTCTACAAACTGAGTTCCAGGTAGGTAATCCAGTAATATTGAGAGCCTGTATCAAAACCTAAAAAACAAAAACGCTTCGCCCTTAGACCTAACAGAACACCCAGAAGGACATGGCAGCAGAGGCTAATTGAGAACATTCTGTTACTTTCACACCATAATTTGCATTTTAAACTTTTCCCTTAAAAAATGACTTTTTATTGCCAGGCAGTAGTGGTGCACACCTTCAATCCCAGCACTCTACAGGCAGAGGCAGGTGGAGTTCTAAATTCAAGGCCAGCCTGGTCTACACAGTGAGTTCCAGGACAGCCAGGGCTACCCTGCCTTGAAAAAAAAAAAAAAAAAAACAAAACAGGACCTTTTATTTTCACTTTCAATTTGTCCTATTCAAGCCCTCAACTGACAGTTTTAAAAGTCTGGATATTTAAAAAAAAAAAAAAAGTAGTGCTTTTAGGTGGCATTAGTAATTAACCCTAACAATGGCAACCTTGTTTTTCCCCAAACCAAAATGCTAAGCCTTAGCTTATTGATCCCTAGTGGGGGTCACAGATTCAGCAATTTTCAAGAGTCTGGTAGCACCACCCTTCTACAGAACAGGCTCCAGCACTTTCAAATGCTGTTCCCTACTAAAACCCGGGACGTGAAGCTGGTTTGTTTGTTCAGGAAGGAGACAGCTTGGTGTTCTTTGGTGCGTGCCATTCTTCCTTTCTTCTACCTGATAAACATCCCTCCAGGGCCTCTCACCTGGGCACAGTGCTGGGCACCAGTGTTTTAAAATACATTGGGGGGGGGGGGGGAGAAGCGAAGAAACCAAAGAACAAAGAAATGTTTCTTTTAAACTCTGACTCCACAAGGACCTGCCTTCAAATACATTCTAAGTGAATGACCTTGCTTTCCAGGTCTGAGGTCCACTGTCAGCAGATTTCCTCTAGTCAGATATCTCCAGCTCCCTCCTCCATTTTTCCTCCCAGGTACCCAGACAGGCAGAGAAGATACTGCTCTTGTCTCCTCTGGCCACAGCCTCTACCTCAGTTCACACCCGGCATCGGGTCCCACCTGCCTTTCCCTCCTTTTCAGCCCTTAACTCACAGTTTGTGGTCTAGAGGCAGATCTTACCATTTCACTGCCCTTCACAGACTGAGTGTGTGAGACTGGTGGTGTAGCTCAAGACACCAACCTTCCTGCCTAAACCAGGCAGATTGGCGGCCTGGGAGGCGCCCCTCCAGGAAGCCAGCAGCCCTCAGCCCTCAGGAGCTCCCTGGGCTTTCAGGCTGCAATAGTAATTCTAAATCTTCCAGCTCCAGCAGAGAATCAGGCATTGCAGCTGCCACTTCCTGAGAGCCTCTCTCACACCCAGACACCGCACATCCACTGTCACCTTTAACGTCACCCCACGGACGAGGAAGGAGCGGCCACGGCCGAAAATATTTCCCAGGGGGTCGCTGTTCGCCTCAAGTTGCAAGGCCAGACAGGTCCCTCTCCCGCCTGGCTTGCCACGGTACCCAGCAGAAAAACTGAACCCTACTACGTACCCACAGGGTGAGGTCTTCCACAAACTGAAATGCTCCAGCAAGGAGGCTGTTTTGACTTTTGATTTGGAGGGGAACAGAGGCTGCCGCCAGGGACGGCAGCAGTTTCCGGTCTGTCACCCGCCAGCTTGTGTCTGGGGCTGGTGGGCTCACAGAGGATCTTGGGAAAACTCTTACCTCAGTGATTTAAGGCTCTCTTACGATTACATTCCAGCTACCAAACCCTGTTAGCTGGTGATGTCTGAAGGAGAGACTGTCATTTGCAGAACTGGACTGACCACAGACTGATACTGTAGGAGGAAGTGGGTTGAGGAAAGTCCGTCACGCCGGCGCGCTCGGGTGTTTGCTGTGAATGGAAGGAGTCGCGCGCTCCGGTGTTTGCTTATTATCGCTGTGGATGGAGAGAGGCCCGCGTGTTCGTGCGTTTCTAGGGGCTATCTCGGGCCTGCGCTCCGCTCTGTGGCGGCGGCGTGTGCCTGTTGCGGGGAGGGGTGCGTACTTACGGGTCTTCGAAGGGAAGAGCCTATCGTCCAGCCCGTCCATCGCCGGGCGCGGAGAAGGAAAAAGGAAGGAAGGCGAGAGGCGGGAAAGGTGGGGATCTCCGCTTGGCCGAGTCCTCAATGCCGAGTCATCCTCGCCCTGTGGAGAGAGTCAGCAGTTCCTGAAGGGCGGTGGGTGGCGCAGCTTCCGGGGCTTCCTCTTCGGTGGAGTTCACGAGGTGCAGACCTGGCTCTCTTCAGGGACACAGGGTGAGCTCAGAGGCCAGCTCCCCAGGTCATCCCAGCCAAGCCACGAGGCCAGCCAGCCATGCCAACACAGATCAGAACCGCTGTTCTACACGTGTGGGGCAGACCTAAACTAACTCAGCCTCCCTGTCGCCTTTTTCTTTTCTAGAGGTCATGACCGTGGGCTTCATTAGGGTAAGGTCCATCAGGGTAAGCCCTGACCATCAGGGCTCTCCTACACTCACGCCCTACTGAGGCCGTCAGACTGCCAGCAGCAGCTCCGAAGCCTGGCAGAGCCTGGTTGGCTCCGGCTTCTCAGGATGAGTCTGTAGAGGCCTTGATCATCACAAACCAAGCTACTTCCGGGGTGGGTGAACAGACTCTGGGTAAGCCATCTAGAGCCCCTTTCTGTAGTTTGGGGACAGCAGAGTTTGGAGGCACAGAGTCGGGGAGGGAGGTGGGGGGCGGGGCAGCATCTGCATCAGGCCTGTTTCCTCCATTTCTTTCCCAACGCACGAGGTCACTGCTTTAAATGCCTGCTTTCTTTCTTTTGTTCCGCTTGATTTTTGAGGCAGAATCTGGTTGGTCTGCAACTCTCCATGTAGACCAGGCTGGCCTCAAACACAGAGTTGCACCAGTCTCTGCCTCCCGGGTGCTGGGATTAAATGCTTGTGCCACCACTGCCCAGCTCCAAATCTCTTATTTTTAAGTGATCAGTTCGGATAAAAGAGGCTGAAGAAAGTGGAAGAGAACTTTTGCCTCATCTCAATAATGTTAAAAAAAAAAATAGCAAGGTGAGCAAAGCACATCAGGCCTTATTCTAGGTACTGGCCATGACTATGGCCTCTCTCTCTGTCTCTCCCTCTTTTCCTCCTCCTCCTCTTCCTTCTTCTTTAAGAGTTATTTATTATGTATACAATGTTCTATCTGCATGTACACCTACAAGTCAGAAGAGGGCACCAGATCTCATTAGAGATGGTCGTGAACCACCATGTGGTTGCTGGGAATTGAACTCAGGACCTCTTGAAAAGCAGCAGTGCTCTTAACCTCTGGCCCAACCCCCCACCCCCCCCCCCCCCCCTTCTTCTTTAAGGTAATTAGCTAAATTAGTGCCTGGCTATACTAACTCTAAGGAATATGAAATGGTTAGGGAGTACCTGGGCCAGGTATTCTAATGCCTTTATGAGACAAATCACAGAGTATACAGATAGCAGTCTTTACTGAATCAAAAATAAACACAATCAGGACTGGTGCAGAGGAGGAGCCAGGCCAATCTGCGAAGCAATTAAGAGCACCTAAGAACTTTAACTTTCCGATGCATGACAGGTCAACTAGGAGGCAGGAAGACAGAGCTGGGAGTCAATCCAGACAGTAGCACGTACTCCAAGAACACAGGAACCTGGAGTATCAGAGCTGTGGGGGAGCAGAAAGGGGGGGCTGTCAAGGAGGACATGAGCAGGGTCACTTCTCAGTAGCTAATTCACGTGGCATACCCACTCCAAGAATTACCTCTTTTCCTTTTGAGCAGAGTCCTGCTACGGAACCCTGGCTGGCCTGGTATTCTCATGTAGGTCAGACTGGCCTTGAACTCATTACAATCTTCTTCCCTTGCCTTCCTAAATACTGATGTTACCGTGCCTGCCTTACTATGACATCTATTGGGACTAAGCTTTGAACCTGAGGTTTGCACACGCCAGACAAGCAATCTACCACTGAGCTGCATTCCAGACCCTGCCTTTCTACTTCTTATTTTGAGACAGGTTCTCACTAAGCTGTCCAAGCTGACCTTGAACCAAGCCTGACTTCTTAGCCTCATCATCTGCCCTGTTTCCCCACTTCTCGCCCAGACGTGGGAAAAGAGAACACTTAATCTTCCGTAGCAGACTCAGACATGGCAGTGCGGTGCCGGGGAGTGGAAATTTACGCTCAGTGTTGGGGAGAGCCGGGAACGGTTCCTGGCCTTGTTGGTACATTAGGTAGTGAGGCAATCTCATGAAAGAGAATTTGTGCCTGGGTCTGTGATGGTTGCAGCAGCTCTGCTCTGCATATTACCACACGAGAAGATACGGCCCCACCAGATACTTCAGGGGGGAAAAGGTTGCAGAAAAAGGGTCTATGATGTATAACCTGGCTCAAAACATACATGCACAAATCACAAAGCAGCAAGCGCAGGCGAAAACCAAACACTCTGTTTGGTTGCAGATACAGTTTTGTGTGTGTCGGGACAGTGGTTCTGACTGCAGACCCGGATCACACTGGAGCGGTGGAGAAGAGGGAAGGCAAGCATCGGGGCCATGGAACCACAAAACAGCCCTTCACAGAGGAGTCTAGACCGTTCTCTACTCACTGTTTTTCTTCTAGCTAGAGTGAGACCACATAATGGTTTCCTAGGTAACGTACAGAGCGGCACCGACAGCCTGGAATCCCACGTGCTTCTACGATACAGCATCAGTTTAATAGGTGAGTTTGAGCCTGATTTCTCAGGGTCTTAACAGTGCAGGAGTGAATGCTGACATGGTGCTACCTCCCAAATCATTTACTCTTCTATCCAATACTCAGGGTCCTTGGTAAGTTCTCATTTGTAACACACTGAAGCAGGGTTCTTCAAGCCCAGGTACCTCCCAAGCATACTTCACTATTCATGTGTTAATCAATTTTATGTGTGGCGATTTGGGTGACTGGGTAATTGAGTACTTGTAACACCAATATAGTGATCTGGTCATTGATCTTATGGCTTTTAATTTTCATAGCAGGGCAGACTTAATGACTTAGCTTTAAGTCGATGCTTGGGTTTACACATATTACTCTTTGCAAATGAACCTAAATCTTTGCTTCCTGATGCACAGTGGGCTGGGGCAGAGGATCATTTGAATTCAAGAGTTCTTGGCTAGTGAGGGGCTGGAGGAAGAGATGGCTCACTGATTAAAAGCACTTTCTGCTCTTGCAGAGGACCAGGGTTCGATTCCTAGCACATGATAACCCACAACTGGTTATAGCTCCAGTTCCTGGGGAATGGATTCCCTTTTCTGGACTATGTGACCACCAAAAAAAAACACATGGTGTATACATGCAGGCAAAACATTCATACATACAAAATACAAGTTAAACGAACAAGAAGACTTCCCAGCTAGGTTGGGCATTATGACCCTGTCTCAAAAACAAAACAAAACAACAATCTTTATTTTGTGAAGGAATAACAACAACAGAACACTGTTAAGACAGGTGTGAACTTCCTACTTGTTGAGTAAACTTGACCCTGGAGCATCTCTGGGCCTGGCACATTCTGTTTTGAGAGGTTGTAAATGATTAATTCAGTTTATTTCATAGGTAATGGCTGATTCCAATTACTATTTCAGCTTCTATACTGTCTTTCAAGGTAAGCAATCTTTGTGTGTGTGTATAGATCATCCTCACATTGCTTTATTATTCTTCTAATGTGTAGCAGAGGGGTAGGAATGTTCCTCTGTGTGATTAGTAATCTATAACTTTCTCTTTCCGATATACCATTATGTTTTTGTTACATTTTTACTATGGACAAGGGCAGATATGTTGTCACATGGCCTATCTGATTTCTTTTATAAACTGTCAACTTGTGTACTTTGTTATTTTCCTATTTCACCTAAGACTTAATAAATATTAAACGCATTAACCAGTTGGCCTGTTGTACATGCTGAGAATATTCCTTTCCAGATTTTTTCTTTCTAATCTCATGTTTGCACTGTTTTCACAAATAAGTTGTAAAGTATTCCACTGTTTTACTTTCTTCTTTCGCTATTATTAAGTAGGACTTAGTATTTATTGAGCACTAACTGTGTATCAAATATTTGTAGTGATTTACTTGTATCATCTAGATTCTATCTCAAGGCACTTATTTCTGTTTTATGGATCAGAAAAGCAAAGCACAAGTCAGCTGAAGATCGTGGTTAAGAAACCCTGGAGGGGTGGCCAGGATTGGCAGTGAGTCATTCTGGTGCTGGGGACCCTGCCCCTGATGGCCACTGCTTGCTGGCAAAGTGATCTTGTGAGCCCTGTGTTAACCCTTCCTTAGACCCACATACCTCGGCATAAATATGCTCACAATCACTCTATATCCAAAATGTTAAGGTTTTCTCTTTTGATATTTAAAAAAGGTTAACTGGGAACTGGATTTGATAAGTTACCTTGTTAGACTGCTCTAACAGAACAGTGGGCTGACAGAATACTGGAAAGTATGGAAGAATTATAAAGGGATTTAAAAAAACCTAAGCAGACTTGAAAATTATTAGATTATTCATTTCGTTGTATGTGTGAGTGTTCTGCCTGCAGGTGCATGAGTGCAGAACATGTGTGCGTGTGCCTGAGGCCGTCAGAAGCGGGTGTCTGGAACTGGAGGTCCTGAGGGTTCGAAACCACCATGTGGGTGCAGGAATTGAACCCTGGTCCTCTGCAAGAGCAGCAAGTGCTCTTAACCACCGAACCATCTCTCCAGCCCTCTAACCCCTCTTTTTTTTTTTTTTTTCTTTTTTTGTGACAGGGTTTCTCTGTGTAGCCTTGGCTGTCCAGGCTGGCCTTGAACTCTCAGAGATCTGCCTGCCTCTGCCTCCCCAAGTGCTGGGATCACAGGCCTGAGCTACCATGCCCGGCACTCTTCAGTCCCTTAAGCGGACATTTGAAGGGCAATTTCTGATTGAGTAGTCCTTGAGCCAGAGTGTTTTGAACTGTACTTTTCAAGTTTTTGGCAAATTTACATTCCCATAATAAGATATGCTGGAAAAATATGTGTGTTATAGTCATAGCCTAAAGGTAATTTCATACAATATTTTCAATGATTTTGTGCAAGCAGCAGCAAATTATGCAGAACTGGCTTGTCTACTGTGATGTCGAATTGGCACGCACAAGAGTGCTGGAGTTTTGAATTAGCGATTGCTTAATCTG